ACGATTTTTTTATACGACGGTTTTAAAATTAGATGTAAGATCGTCGTAAAATCGTTGTAATTTTGCGACGATTTGAAAACCGTCGTAATGAACCGTTGGAAAACGATTGTTTTCTTGTAGTGCAATGATTTTTTTTTTGAGAAAAATGTCACAATGATTTTTAATAAAGAATAATATTATATCGATGCATTATTGTAAGGCTGAAATTTTTTTCATTCTTAATTTTTTTAACCGTATCATGAAAAAATGGTTGTCTATTTAGTTTTGTTCTTCTCGCTTTCTATTTCTTTTACCCAATTAACATTAAGATTTGGTGTTCAATTGCTATTGTTTTCCTTATCTTTCATTATTAATCTACGTGGACTGTTGACGACAAGTATAGGCCGGTGGGTGGGACCCCAAAAAGTCAGAAATACGGGCCCCATGTCCAACTGATAATGACGTGGCGACAAGCTAATTCGATAGATTTCATTGTGCCTGTGTCCGATCGCTGACACGTGAGTGTATGCCAGGTAGGATTCCACTTGAAAGTGGGCCCACAAGTCTGCTGCCACGTCAGATCAAATCCTCACGGCGCTTTTCTTTTGTGTTCTTTTTTGAAGTTTTCTGTTTCGTGTGGATTTCTCTCTTCTTCCTTTTTTTTTTTTTGTACGTGGTTCTCTCTTCTATTCGACTAACTCTAGTCTCTTAACAAGACAACAAGTCTGAAGTCTACAAAGATGTTCAAACAAAAATATTAAGAAGTATTTAAAATATAATTTTAAGAATTAATATTGTTTTAAATAATTTTACTTATTTTACATGTTTTAAAAAATTTAGTCTTTTAGATATATATTACTTGACTTCCTTTAAAAATAATTATTAACCGTACGTACAAAGAATATTTGCAGAAGAAATACTTGCAGGTTTTTTAAGTTTTTTTAAATAAATTCTCCAACATCCATTCATAGAAAAATACAATTATATATACTCCTAATTAAAATTTCATAGTTTCATATGTTAAAATTTTGAAAACGACTAATAAAGCTGTAAAGGACGGATCAATGGAGCATATTGTCTGCGCCATTGGAAATTGGAGTGTCAATTTATCAAACTACGTAACGCTATTTTTAAATTCGTAATCAAAATTGATAATTCTTATGTTTATATCAATAGATGTGTATGTACACATAATTAATCACCATCTGTAAAGTTATATGCCAGAAGGAATTCCGATTAAAGAAAAAGGTTGGACGGCTAAGATGGCCCCATAACTGTGGGCGCCACTATTTTTTTCGAAAATGGTATAAAAACATCAATAATTCATTTAAAGAATCATTTGAGATTCAGAATACTTTAGTAACTAACAGGAGAAAAGACTCGTATCCGATTTATCAGAATTAAATTAAATTGTAAGCTCGCCATGTACAGCCACATTATTTTGTGTAGTCTCAACTGCGATAATATTCATATAAAAAGTATTGATTGTTGTCAAAATGTAAGAAGTGGTGAATTATTTTATAAATTAAATTTATTGTTGTAATAGAACGTAATTATGTTTATCACAAATTACTTGTTGATAAACTAAATTGTAAGTATTGGACCCTTTTGTTTATTAGTATTCAATCCTTTTTGTTTACATTTGTGATTCAAGTTTAGTCCAACTAATCCAATATCCATTCGTTTTACCACTTAATCAAATATGAAATCGAAATCAAAGTGATCTATATGCTTATTTCGCACTATTTTTTCTTTGAACTAACCGAAGTCATGTATCAATCATTAATATTGAACATTTCATTGATCACTATAAGAACAACAAAAACAGTATGTATCAAATTATATAGTTAATTAGTTAATACCTTTGTCAATGGTTTTTTCTTAGAAAATAAATCTACGTCAAGATACTATTATCTGTAAATTTTACTTATATATGCACATAGCACACATTCTATTTTATTAATAATTCATAAAAGGTAGTTCTTACTCTTCCTCATACACTTTTTAACTTTAAATTGTAATTTTTTTTTTTTTTAATTTCTTTCAGATCTTAAAAAAGCAAAGTTCGAAATAATTCACTTGTGGCACCGCCGCACCGGAATTATGTTAAGACGACCCCATGCGGGCATGCCTTGAACATGTGTAATCCTAAAGTCGGACAGTCTTAAGTATAATTGTCTCCTAAACATAGCTGTATTAACTCTTTGCCGTTCATTTATAAGTACCAATTTAAATCAGCGGTCACAAATTAAACATCTGTCAATAATTCATTGGTCGGCCACATGTTAGATTGATACCGTAATGTTCTAATGTGTCATCATCGTTGGTCCACCAGAGTAGAATCTCTTCGTCACCAAATAGTTGGACACCACAGCTAAACCCAAACATGCATGGAATCTATTTTTAGTGTTAATTTTCAACGTCCGATCGAATCTTATATATCATATATTGTTCGTTTAATGCAAAGCTAATTTTCTATTTATGCTAAGAAGATCGTTAGGCTGTAAAGCCTGTTATTTGATTATCAACGCGCGTTTTGTGTTTGCAAGAATCATTGGTTTGAGTGAAACGAATGGTTTGACGTAAATTAAACCGCGAATATAATATATGAGAAATATTAACTAAACTTTAAACAATAATCGTAATTAAGTAATAAAATAAAATTATTTACATCACAGATAGTAATTTGTTATAAGAAAAAAGAATTGTCATGTCGTCCGTGAATATCCTATTTTGTGTGATATCAAAGAGACATTCAATATAGCCAAAATCTTTTTAACAAAATAAGCTAGCAAAGAAAAATTAAAAGGAATTAATCCACCCTATTATTTTCTACAGATGATAATGTTTTTAGATAATGTTCTTATTTATCTGAAAACACAAGCCTATCTACCATTCACAGCAGACTTTTATTTTTGATAAATATACGTACAGAATAATTTTTTTTTTTACAAACTAACTTTAAAACTATTTATAACTAGTTAATCTGTCTAGACTATATATATTTATCAAATGTAATTTTTAAATAAATAATTTCAAGAACATTAAATTTTTTCAACTCTATTCTAAGTTAGATAAATCCAAAATTTACAAATAAGCTTTTGATTTTAGTAAAAGGGTAAAGAGGTTTGAAGTAGTATATATATAAGAAATCAAAAATTATAATCTAGATATTATAATTAACGATATTTCATTAGACATATATCAAAAATTATTTATTATTATTATTATATTTTTTTTGTTTTTTTCTAAATTTCTGTTTTATATAATTTTAAAAACAGTTTAATTAGATATTCCATTAATTTCTAAATAGATTCCAGTTTTTGTTTCTTTTAACATTTTTGTTAGATTTTTTTTTTAAAAGTTTCGGTAACATAAAAAATGGTAATCATTAATTTTTTTTTCTTTTAACATTTTTGTTAGATTTTTTCTAAATTTTGGTAACACAAAAAATGATAATCATTAAGAGAAATAATTTTCATATTTGTTTTTTTATTTTAAAAACGTTTATGTTATTTAAAAAAAAACGTTTTTGTTAAATTTTTTCTAAATTTTAGTTTTATATAATTTTAGAAATGGTTTAAATGACTATAAAATTAAACATTAAACCATAATAATTTAGACCGGTTTGTTTTAAGTTTTTCTTACATATCAGCAGATAACCAATCAAAAAATGACCTGTAATTGTTAAATGGGGCTAAATAGTCTTTATGCAGCTGAAATTGATTTTAGAGCTGACACATAAGCGAAAAATTGTGAAACTCGCCCTGAGCGCGACACATAAACAAATCACTACACAAATAAATATATAGATATATGCACCTGACGTTCTCTTGTTTTGTATTAGGATATTAGAAACTTTCTTGCTTGCTTGATTAAAAATATGTAATATTTAGAAATTTGAAGACACTATACATATCATATTAGTATAAATCCTTCTGGAGAGGGCTTTCAGCTTTCTACTTCTCTTTGTGTTATTGACAAATTCTTTTTCGAAATCAAAATCATTTTTCCCTTCATTCACATCAAATTCGGCAACTAAAATGGTCCATCTAAGAAAGTGATAAATATTTGCAACTTTACAATGCATTCATAGATTTACACATGTATGCTCATGCACTTTCTTGTTTGTTAAAGAACATGCACAAGTGTTGATGATATGATTTTAATTTTTTTTCGTTCTAGAACCACGAAACCTAAGGCAATGTTGTCTTGGGAATTTTCAAAAATTTACAAGGACGATATACTATTTATAGGATTTTTTTTACAAAGTTTAGACCAACAGAACAATTCCTTAACAAGTGAAAACTTTTCGATGTTTCTAGTTTTTGTAAATTAGATGTATAATATTATGTGCTGTAAAAAAATATATTTACAATATCGTATTCTTTCTATCTAAAATGCATGTTGGTGATAAATTTCTTTTTTTTTTTTTTTGGTGATAAATTTCCATGTGTATGGTATGCATCTATAGAAAATAGTATCTTCGATCACCATTGGAAGCTGCTAGCCTGCAGCATAGACATTAGGCAGGCTCTTCTCCTCCATAACTATTTGGTTGTTGACGGTCTTAATGCTGGCCGTTCTCTCCGAGATAGGAAGCCACAAGCAACTATTGGGCTTAAATTTCGACCTATGAATTAAACTGATTATAGAGCCCAATAAAATTTTTACTACTAGCCTTTGTCTTCTATTAGACGTACGAATCTATTCTCACGAGGCATGTGCCTTTTTTAGTCTCCAATAAGTTTAAATTAATTCTCTACTTGCAAGCGAACATGCATCAGATCGTCCTCTAGACGTGTAACCATACAGAAATATACGTGCATTGTAGAATTTGTATATATTTAGAAAAATCTGATTTGGAGAGTGAGATTTGCAAAATAATAGGATTACCACATGACCATTTCTTCAAGCTCCAAATATAAACATTCCTCAACAAAAAAAAAACACCAAACTCTCTCTTTTTTTTCTCTCTCTCCTCTATAGCCATCTTTTTTTTTTGAATTTTGCTCGAATCCAGCAGTTGACATTGTCTAAGATCCTATTAGATCAACAAGGGAAATTCTGCTTTTCATTTTGGTTTTGGTTTAAGGAATCAATAATGGGTTTGGAAGATGGTAAGAAGGAAGGAGGAGAGACATCAGAGAAAGAAATTGGGCTAAGCAGAAAGAACAGTGAAAGCTCTTTGTCTCCAACAGAAGATGATGAAGAAGACGATCACGAAGACAAGAAGCCCGTCCTCGGTCCCATGATTGCTCTTAAAGAACAGCTCGAGAAAGACAAGGTTTTTTCTTTATCAAATTTTTAATATGAGATTATTTTAAAGTATACAATTTTATAGATAATGGTGTGATTGTGGTTTGATTATATTAATAAAAGTACTGCCAGTAATTTAGTCTAGGCATATTCATGTATGAATTTGAATAACATAATATTCAATTGTTTTTGCCCCAACCCGAAAATGAACTAATCAATTTTCTTTTTTCTTTTGTTACATATTTTGCATGAAAATTTGATAGGACGATGAAAGCTTGAGGAGATGGAAGGAACAGCTTATTGGCGTCGTTGATTTGGAAGATGTCGGAGGTAAACCAAATTCAGAACCCGGTTTAGTTAATATGGTTTTAGAAGACTCCAATGTGGTTAATCCTGATAAATAGAGAGATATTACCTGATTCCAGTTAAGTATTATGTACGAGAGGGACGATTCGGGTTTCTTAGTCAAATAACATTTTGACTTTACCTTAGTCTCGGTTAAAACAAGAAAGGACATAAAAAACAAAAACAAAAAACAAGAAAGGACATAAAATGTTATATGACATTTACAATTAACAAAATCCAACTATGAATCATGTTTTCTTGTTTTGAAGGTAGAAATTAAAATGTTATATTAACATACATACAATTAACAAAAACTGAAAATGCAGAGACACTGGATCCGGTAGTAAAGATACTAGACTTGACAATTAGGTCTCCAGACAGAGAAGAGATGATATTGAAGATACCTGATGATGGATTACCGAGTCCAAAAGGCCCTTGGTTTACCATAAAAGAAGGTTCTAAGTACACACTTGTCTTCAACTTCCGTGTCACCAACAATATCGTTTCGGGTCTCCGCTATAACAATACCGTTTGGAAAACCGGTGTCAAGGGTATTTTTTTGTCTTTTCACTTGTTTCTTTGTTATCGTTAAGTCTATATTTTTGAATATTCTCTATTGATGTTCGTTTTTATTTGTTTTCTGCTTGTTGGAGCAGTGGATAGTACGAAAGCAATGCTTGGTACGTTTAGTCCTCAAGCTGAGCCTTACCAACATGTGATGCCTGAAGAAACGACGCCGTCTGGATTTATAGCTAGAGGTTCCTATTCCGCAAGAACTAAGGTATATCTCGTTTCATATACGTACGTGATGAAAAAATTGAGGGGAAATAATCAAGTTGTTATAAATATTTGGTGTTTCATAATCAGATTTAGTTATCTTTCACTATATATACTTGATGAGTTTGAGGTTTTCTTCAAGTGCAACTATGATTTGCTTTGTTGAAAAATTTTCAAATTACTTATTTAGTTCATTGTATATTACAGTTCGTTGATGACGATAATAAGTGCTACTTGGAGATCAACTACACCTTCGACATCCGCAAGAATTGGCAATGATCCACCGAGTCAAACATCTCTCAAGTCTAAACCTATATAGACCAAAAACCCTTTGATATATGTACTTTTTTGTTGTCTCACATTCGATTTTGCAGAGTAGAACATTTATTTAGCTTTCGATTAAATGAGCATGAATAAAAGCTATTGTTTGAGTATTTAACTATCGATGGATTTTTCTCGTGATCTTGTATCTTGTAATGTTTCATAGAGACTCTTCTTTTGCAATATCGGATAGTAACGGTCATATTATCATATACTATTGGTTGTCTTTAGCTGATGATCTTTGGTCCAAGACTCAAAGGTAAAAACGAAGAAACGTTTTTGTTTCGGTTTAAAACGATCAATTAGTTCCCCTAATAGTTCCTAAGACTTAAAATTCTTTCGACAAATATTGTAAAACTTCCAAAGCGAGAAGAGGCTTTTGTGAAAGGAATGTATATTTTTACTGAACATTATTATCGAAAAAAATACAAATATGATTGGTAACCAATAATAAAATAAATATATAAAACTATATACTTCAGTCTCTGTTTAATCAAGAAATAAAAGAACAAAATATTCATGGGAGAAAAGAACTCGAAAACCAAAACACAAATAGTTTCAAAGCCAAAAGAATATATGATCATTGTGACTAGTGGCCACGTTAACCACTAGTTAATGCATGGGTATAAACTTAGTAGTATGGGATTGATGGCGGAGGCGGAGACGCATAAGAGACACCGTGGATCGGAGGAAGAGGTGTGTCGTCGTAGGATGGAGGCGGTGGAGAAGGTTTTGGTGGTGTTTGGTAGTGATGGTCATTACTTGGATCGTCTTTGCATCCTTTCGGTGGTGGTGATGGAGAGTGGTTTGGGGTTGCCGGATGATGGTACTCAACCGGTGGTGGCGGTGGATGACTTTGTGTTACCGGAGAATAGTAAACTGGTGGTGGAGGTGGAGGACTTTGTGTTACCGGAGGATAATATGCCGGTGATGGTGGAGGTGGACTTTGTGTTAGAGGAGGATAGTAGGTAGGTGGTGGTGGTGGAGGACTTTGTGTTACCGGCGGATAGTAGACTGGTGGTGGTGGAGGAGGACTTTGAGCAACAGGTGAATAGTAAACCGGTGGTGGAGGGCTTACGACCGGAGGATAGTAAACCGGTGGTGGAGGTGGAGGACTTTGTGTTACCGGCTCATAGTAAACCGGTGGTGGAGGAGGAGGACTTTGTGTTACCGGCTCATAGTAAACCGGTGATGGAGGTGGAGGACTTTGTCTTACCGGCTCATAGTAAACCGGTGATGGAGGAGGAGGGCTTTGTCTTACCGGCTCATAGTAAACCGGTGGTGGAGGAGGAGGACTTTGTGTTACCGGCGTATAGTAAACCGGTGGTGGAGGAGGCGGGCTTTGTGTAACTGGCGTATAGTAGACCGGAGGTGGAGAACTTGTTGTCACCGGTGGTGGTGGTGGCGGAGAAGACGTGTATTGGTAATAAGGTGGTGCAGGGGATGGATAGTGTTCACTCGGTGAAGGAGTTTGCTGATATTGCGGTGGTGGTGGTGGACTTTGCGTAGTGGGTGGACAGTTCTCTACAGGTGGTGGTGGTGGTGGAGATGAGTAGATATATGGCGGCGAAGGAGATGGTGGCGGTGGAGGGTATGCTCTAACGGTGGGCGACATTCCAGAAGAAGGAGGAGGCGGCGGAGATGGCTCATATTTAGGCGGCGGAGGAGGATAGGCCTTGACAGAAGGAGACATCTTGAAAGACGGAGGAGGTGGTGGAGAAGCTCTAAAAGCAGGAGACATCTTGGAAGATGGAGGCGGAGGAAGTACACGGACGGTAGGTGCTATCTTAAAAGACGGAGGAGGTGGTGGAGAGAAAACGTTGTTGCATCCAAATTTGCTACAATCAACAGGACGTGAAGCTTGAGAAGAACACTCTTTAGACGATCTTTGACGTTCTTTGCCAGCGATACAATTCATCGAACCATTAACCATCACATCGTCTCCAGAGAGAGCTGCACATCTTGGTGCATCTCCAGTGAAGAAGTTGAAAGAGTAAGTGAAGTTCTCAAGATTAGAGAGCTGGCAAATACTACTTGGGATCACTCCTGTGAACGCATTGTTAGCAATATTAAGCTGTTCCAAGCTCTTCATGTTTCCAACGCTTGACGGTAACGAACCACTTAACCGGTTAAAACTAACGTCGAAAACCGTCACGTTCTTGAGATTCCCGATCTGCGGTGGTAAGCAACCGGTTAAGTTATCGTTGGAGAGGATGATCTCGTTGAGTGTTTTCCCCATTTGACCGATACTTCCCGGTATGCAACCTCCAAGATCGTTATCCGCAAGAACCAGAGCGGAAACCGGAGAGTTTCCCATGTTTTCAGGGATCCCAAACCGAAACCGGTTATGGTTCAAGAAAATGGCGTCAAGCTCTTTGTCGAAAAGCTTGGAAGGGATTCCACCTTCAAACTCGTTGTAACGGAGATCCAAGAACTTGAGGGAAGGCAAGTATAAGACAACCTTTGGGAACTTTCCCACGAAACGGTTGTTACTCAAATCAAGCTCGTAGAGAAGCTTCATGTTTTTGAACGTGATTGGGACTTGTCCACAGAACCGGTTTGAGTTGAGATGGAAGAGAGCGAGATCAGTGAGAAGACCAAGCTCAGGAGGTAGATAACCAGCCATATCTGCATGGTTAAGATCAATGCCTGCAACAACTCTGGTTTTCTGACGAGAAGATGGAGAAGGAGCACAGTAAATACCATTGTAGGAGCAAACATCTGAGCCGTTCCAATTAGCTGTGAAGTTAAAAGGGTCAGAGAAAATAGCTTGTTTCCATGATTGAAGAGCAATGTAGGCTTGACGAAGACTCGGGTTTTCGAAGTTAAGACTCGGGTCGACTTTGAAATCGTCACCGTTTATTCCACTGTTATCATCTTCATCATCAGCAGCTCTAATATGCAAGAAACAAGAAGAGAACAAGAGGAAGAGGAAGAAGAAGAGACGAAGAGAAGGGAACAACAACATTTTCTTTGTTTCGAAGTTTCAAGAACTCAACAACATGAAAAATTGAAACTTTTGAGAGGGAGAAAGAGAGGTTTTCTTTGTGGGAAAATGAGAAAATTATGGCACATGGGACAAAGAGACCCACCTTACTAATTGTGACATCTAAGATCTCCATGTGCTTCTTTATAAAAACACTTAGAAAAAAACTCAGAAGTCGTATCTCTCTCTCTCTCTTAACTTCTCTTTCTTTGTTTATGGATTTTTTGGTATTTGATTAATGACAATTTGGCACGTCGAGGAAAATACAGAGGAGACAAAAGACTGACCTATAATTACGCGGCCATAGATGGAGCCACCGTCACCGACTATACTCTATAACTTGGATACATGTCCCCAAAGATTCTCTCTGAAAAAAAATACTAATAAGCCGTCACAGACCTATAAAACGCGTTTATCGATAATTCAAAAAAAAAATTGTTTAATAACTCAAACAGTCATGACCATGAAACATTAACTTGGATGCTTGTCTGTCACAATATACATTACGTAGAACAAAATATCACCTGTTGGTAAGCATTCCTCTGTTTTTAGCTCCAAATGAAACTTTATCTCATACTTCTTGTAATGCTTTGTGCATTGTAAGAACAGTTGGATCTTTATTTTTAATCGAGAAGGCTTACAGGTTTATTGGTGAGCAGATGTGAGATCTTTCGGGCAAGATATACTCTGTCTGTTTGAAAAACAAGCAAAACACAGAATACGAGAAATCGCAAACTAAGTGTGGTTAAATGAACCTTATATATAGAACGGAAAATATATAAGAAACATCAAACATGAAATGTGGTTTTCAGAGAGAAATCTATGTGAAGCAATGTGAATTAAGATGATTAACAAGAAAAAGAGATTTAACAACAGCACTGAAACAAAAAAAATGCTTCTTTAAGTCCAAGAGACTGGATTTAAAAGAATTGAAACAACAGAAGCAAACTACATTTTCAAGTGAAATTCTCTCATGGAAAGTTCCAATCTTGAATATATTTAGCATTCTATAAATCTCGCTTCAAATCTCGCTTCAAATTTCGGGTACAAGATCTTACATACTTACATTTGCATCACTAATACATTAACCAACATTGGAATAATGACGAATCACAGTCTCTTAAAACCAAAAAGATTCAATGCTAATATAGAGACAAGAACATTTTCCATTAAAAACCATTAATCTGGTTAACATAGAAGACGAAAAATCGCAAACTATAGATAAAGAGGACTAAAGATATAAGAGCATCAATCTGGTTAAATGTAAGATAAAGAGGACTAACAAGAAATGTGATCTTCAGAGAGAAATCTCTGTGAAGCTCTAGATACAATGTTCCAGAGAAAGTATTACTAATATCTGGATGATGGCTGAATCACAGTATATTAAACCAGAAACATTCAAGGCTAATATAGAGACCAGAGCATTGTTCCATTAAAACCATTACACTACTTGAAGCTCAAAACCAAGCTTATATATATGAACAACGATCATACCAAAACACACAGAACAATAGGTAATAGCTGGAGAAAAATAAACAATCAAATTCGGTCTTTTACTATAGTCAAAATCCTATCTTAGTAACTGCATCCAAATCAAGATTTATAAAAAAACTAGCTATTTTTCTAAACATGGTTTAGGCACTTGGTTGCAGACCAAATCACAAACCATTTTATAACACACATACTTAATCATGGAAGAAGAAAACGAACACAGTTCAATTTGTAGTTACTAGTTACAGATCACAAAACATTCGAGCAAAATTAGGATATGTACTCCTAGGGCCACTACGAAGACGCTTTTTCAGTTTCGATTCAACGGATCTGAAAGAAACAATCGGAGTCTAGGACGGATTGAATCGCCGGAGGTGTAGGAATTTTTATAAAACGCTGACTCCGACACACCGGGAAGCGTCGTCGAGTTATGCTCCGGCGAGAGAGTTTTACTGGATCGGATACGATTTCGAGAAATGCCGTTGAAGTTAATGGCTAACTTTAACGATGTCGTTTCACTGTTAAAAAATGGAGTGTTTCTTTGGGAAATTGCACATTTAAATCCTCAACTATTTGCAATCGGCACAAATAATACCCAACTATCAGAATAGCAAAATAATTCCTCAATGTATCGTTGACCACGCAAATTAGGGATTAATGAAGTCAGCAGTTAACTCTCTTAACGATCGTCGTTAGTATTAATTTCGTTCTAATTTCTGTCATCGGGATTTCATTAGTTTGAACCCTAAAAAGCTCCAAGTAGAAACGATTCAGAAGGTGATTTCCGGCGAAGCAATAAACCTTACTCCGGCGAGTTACAGCAGCGATACGATTCAGAAGAAACAAGCTTTTCCATCAACAATGGTTAGGACTATGTGGAAAAGAGGCGGAAAGAAGCTTCCAGTTCGAAGAAATCGAGAACCAGAACCCGAACCTGATCCTCCGAGGTAATTTCGAACTTTGCTTGTGAATTTTGATTAATCAAAACTCGTGTTTAGAATAGAGAATTTCGATTGCAGGGTAACTGATGAAGAAACGAATATGGGTTTAGAAAGAGATAATGTTGATGGAGAAATGGCTACCAATGTTGAAAAACCGGCGAATGTGTGTTTGGAAATTGTGTTGTTTAATAAAGAGAGAGTAGCTAGTGTAGATGAAGAGAGAGTAGGTCGTGCAGATGAACCAGAAGGAGGTTTTGCTGATGAACAGGAAGTTGCAGATGCTGAAAAAAATCCAGAAGAGTCTGATAAAGATTCATCGGTCGAAGGAGATGATTGCCCAGTAATTGTTGAAGACACTGCAGGATATAGAGAGAGTGAGCCAGCTTTGGCTAAAAATCCAGAGGATAATGATCCTGAGGAGGAGCTAGTCAATGTGCAAATATGTGAGGATGATGAATGGTTTTCGCATTTTGGAGAAGGTGCCCCTGAAGATGGAAATGGTGATGATGATAGTGGAGATGATATCTGGGATGATGAACACATTCCAGATCCTTTGACAGATGATGATGAAGACGAAAATAGGACAGAGGAAAGGCCATTCAACTTTGGTCCGGATGACATTTTGGCTTTAGGGAAGACATTCAACAATGCTGAGGAGTTCAAGTATGCATGTCTCACTTATTCTCTGAAGACACAATATGATATCAAGATGTACAAATCATCTCAGAGCAGGCTTGGTGCAAAGTGCACAAAAGAAAAAGAAGAAAACTGTGCTTGGAGGGTCTATTGCTCTTTTGAGAAGAGCAAAAACAAGCTGATGATTAAGTACTTCGATGGTAAACATGTTTGTGTAAGATCTGGATCGACAAAACTTCTGAAAAGTGGTACCATTGCACAACTGTTTGAAGAAAGGTTGAGACTGAATCCTAAAATCAAGTCGCAATTCATGGTTGATGAAATAAAAAGAGAGTACAACATGAATGTTAGTGTGCATCAGTGTAGGAGAGCAAAGGCATCACTCGCAGCTGCAAGAAAAGCTAGCCATGAAGCTCATTTTGCTAGAATTTGGGATTACCAGGCTGAGGTACTTAGGTCGAATACAGGTTCAACAATGGAGATTGAGACCATTCCTGGTCCAGTACCCGGAACAAGACAAAGAATTTCCCGGCTCTACATGTGTTTTGAAGGTATAAAAATCATCCTGAAGGGATTTTTGTAGCCTATTATTCGGTTTAGATGCACCATTCATGAAAGTGGGATATTAAAGGCCAAATGTGGGAGCAGTGGGCAGAGATGGTGATAACCGAATTTTTTCCTATTGCTTGGGCAGTAGTTGATGTGGAGGATAACCCAAATTGGTTGTGGTTTGTGCAACTTCTGAAAAAGGATTTGGCACTTGAAGATGGAGCTGACATTACCATCATCTCGGATAAACACAGGGTTTGTCTAAGTTTTTTTTTTTTTGGGTAATGGTTTATCGTTTACTTGATTTTGCACTTCTCTAATGGTGCTTGCTTGACGTGACAGGGTATCCTCAATGCAGTTCAGACAGAGCTTCCTCGTGCTGAACATAGAATGTGTGCTAGGCACATTGTGGAAAATTGGAAAAAGACCCACAAAGACATAGAGCTAGAGCGTTTGTTCTGGAAAATTGCAAGAAGCTATACTAGTGGAGCATTTGAGGATAACTTGGAAGCATTGAGGAAGTACAATCAGGGTGCATATGATTCTCTGCAAAGCACTGCACCAAAAACGTGGTCTCGGGCCTTCTTCAAGCTTGGTTCTTGTTGTAATGACAACCTGAACAATTTGTCTGAGTCTTTCAATCGAAATGTGAGGGAGACAAGGAGGAAGCCGTTGTTGGATTTCTTAACCGAGGTAAGGAGGAAATGCATGGAGAGGAATGCAAAGAGAACTCTCTTAACAAAGAGGTGGAAGAAAAGATTCACACCAAGAGCAGATAAAGAGATTGAGTTGAATAGGCAGAGAGCTAGAGAATGCATACGCTACATGACCACAGGAGATGAACATGAGATCGACTTCCATGGTACAGCGTATAGCGTTCATATGGGGAATAAAACTTGTGGTTGTGGCTATTGGCAGTTGAATGGGATCCCATGTATGCATGCTATGTGTGTCATCACAACAAAAAAGTTAGACCTGAATGAATATGTCTCGGATTACTATCTGACTTCGAAGTGGGTGCAGCTATATGCTAGGGGAATGAAGCCTGTCCAAGGTATGAAGCTGTGGCCTCGGTTGAACAGGTTACCTGTGTTACCACCACCATCCAGATTTAAAGATGGAAGACCTAATAACTATGCTAGGAGAAAAGGTCCTCATGAATCTTCATCAAATCCAAACAAGGTAACACGCCATGGTCGCATTCCTAGTTGCTCAAACTGTAAAAAACAAGGACATAACAAGACAAGGTGTCATAATCCAACCCCACCTCCTGAACCAAAAAGGAGAAGAGGTCGTCCAAGGAAAGACCAGGTTTGCTTTTTTTTTTTTACATGCTTCGGATCTAGTGTAGTTTGGATTTGATCTAGCTTTATATAGCCATTACCTTGTTTTATTGTAGGGAGAATTATCTGGAGCAGGATGGGAAGCTTCTCAGTCATCACAAGTAGGAGCTTCTCAATCATCACAAGGAAGAGCTTCTCAATCATCACAGGGAAGATTTGGTTTCTCAAACTGAAGCAGCCATTCTCTGTTTTTTGTTGCATTTCAGGTTGTTTTAGACTGAAATATCGGCTTTATGTTTTGTTGTGAACCTCTCTTTCTTGTCATCGGCTTTATGTTTTGTTGTGATTGAATTTCTCTTTTGTATGAACCTATGTATCAGCTACTCCTAATTTTTCAGATGTAATGGTGGAGATCTGTTGATAAACTGTAATTCTTCCCAACCAAAACAGAGACCAATAGATAGAAATATAGAAAGATAAGACAATCAATACAAACTTGTGTCTTACATAGAGATAAAGAGATAAATACATGTCTTAACAGAAACCAAAACACAGAAATTTGGTCTTACATAAAGGGTCATAACCACAAACTTGTTTACTTGTTACCAAATAAAAGTGTGTTTCCGACACTTTTGTGCAACATGAGGTGATAAATGATCACAAAAGCCAAAACACAAATACAAACAATGAGTACCAAGTTGTTGATTTTGAATCTGCGTAGCTCAGTTTTGCATTGAATGACTTGATCCTTCACACTTTCCATCTCAAGCTTCAACTCATTCACTCCCATAATCCCCTTCTCATTCTCGGATTTCCTTTCTAACAAGTCGATCACTTCTTCATATATCCCATCTTCGACCCATTTAAACAAATGCCCATTCTACATATAATGCAAACAGATGTGTGTATCATCATAAATATGCCGTTATTACTCTCATGAACAAACCAAGAGTTTAGCTAAACATAACAAACACAAAGGTAGAGAGCAGTAGTAACTTACCTCTCTGGAAACAGCACAACGAAAGTAAGGACGTCCAGGATTAGTTTTTGATGCTGATGTATAAATGGTAACATCACTTCCACACACACATTGTTTTGGAAATCCTTTTTTTTCCATTGATGAACCCATACTTAGATGAACTCCCAAATTCATTCCTAGAGTATGAATTTTTCTCCTCCTACACTCAAACGATTTCAATTCTATTCAATTTTGTATTCTACTTACTCAAATCTGGATAGAAGAATAAGCTAAAAGAATCGACACTTACAGATTTCGGGTGGATAAGCGATGTCTTTGTAAATGACTTTATGTCCGTCTCTGGGCAAGCATTCTTGTTCTTCATGATGTTCTTCATGATTTCTCTGCCGGATTTCAAGCTTTCTCAATGAAATCAAAGCTCTGCAAACTCGCCGGACCTGGGTAAGCTTCGCCGGATATCGTCTTAGGTTTTTTTATTTGGGGTTTTTAGTTCACTTGTGTATTAGAACGAAATTAATATTAACGACGATCGTTAAGAGAGTTAACTGCTGACTTCATTAATCCCTAATTTGCGTGGTCAACGATACATTGAGGAATTATTTTGCCATTCTGATAGTTGGGTATTATTTGTGCCGATTGCAAATAATTGAGGATTTAAATGTGCAATTTCCCGTGTTTCTTTTTTCTTTTATTTTGTCATCTTTTTTTTTCTTTCTTCTTTTTCATTCAATTAAGAAGGTCATAATATTAGCCATAGGTACGACAGTATTTCTACCATATTAGGAAAAAATTGTGATACTTGTTTTTGTAGTCTTGTAGATATATGTTTTTTGATAATATTTTAATAAACATCTTCAGTCAGAGGGAATTTTAAAATGGAATTTGCTTACAATAAAAAAAAAATCATGTATTGGAAAACAAGATTATGTTTATGATAAAATAAATTAAATAATCTGGCACAGTTTGTATACATTTATGTTATGTATAATATATTGTGCCAGATTATTTAATTTTTCTTCTGTCAATTGAGATAAATGAAATTAAATGAACTGTTTTCTATTAAATGATAAGATTATAATATTTGG